TGATTAGAGAAGGTGGTTTCTGCTTCATTAATGAAGTTGATAATGGTTAATTACTAAACTGGAGTAAACAGTTTAAAAGCCAGATCAAGAATGAAAAGCCAATTATGTAGAAATGATCCAGCTGTACTAAATAGGATTTCCTTTTACTATTAAAAACCTCAAAAACAATTTAAAACACTTGAAAAAAACAATAACTGAACCATTTATCTTGTAACTTTATTTCTTACTGCTTTGTTTAGAATTGAAAGCCACATCTGGTTTCGTTTTCAAACTCAATGAAACAGCTCCAAGACACAAAATGGAATTCACTTGATCATAACATAAAATGAAAATCAGTACAAGTTTAACAGACATTCTTTTTAATTGCTTAATATGAACTCCAACTGTGGAGACTGGCTTTTTATGTTTTTTAAGTGAGGTGAGAGTCACATAACATAAATTAACAATTTTAGAGTAAACATTTCAGTGGTATTTTGTACATTCGGTGTCGTGCAATTCCATCTAGTTCTAAAACGTTTTCATCATTCCCAAAGGAAAGCTCATACCCATTAAACTATTACTCCCCATAAACCCAGCCCTAGCTGCTGGCAACCACCAATGTGTGTTCTGTCTTCAATGGATTTACCTATTCTGGATCTTTCATGTAAATGGAATCATACAGTATGTGACCTTTTGTATCTATCTTTTTACATTTAATGTTTTTGAGGTTCATCCACATTATAGAATATATCAGTATTTCATTTCTATGACTTAATATTTCATTGAATGTTTATACCACAATTTGTTTATCCATTCATCTATTAATGAACATTTCTATTTTTCCACGTTTTGGCTAAAGTGAATAGTGCTGCTATGGATATGTGTTTGTTTGATTACTTATTTTCAATGGGTAATGAATTTAAGGAGAAGAATTGCTTGGTCATATATTAATTCTGTTTAACTTGTTTGAGGAATCACCAAACTATTTTTCATAACACGGAATCATTTTACATTCCCATCAACAATGTAGGAGGGCCCCATTTTCTCTACATTCTTGCCAACACTTATTTTCTGTTTTGTGTTGTATTTTTAAAAAATTTTAACTATCCTAAAAGGTGTGAAGTGGTATCTCAAGGTTTTGATTTACATTTACTCAGTGGCCAATGATGTTCAGCATATTTTCATGTGTTTTTTGGCCATTTGTATATCATCTATGGAGAAATATCTATTCAAGTCCTTTGCCCATTTTTCAACTGGATGTTTTTTCTTTTTGTTGTTGAGTTGTAAGAGTTCTTTGTATATTCTGGATACTAGACCATTATCAGATATGTGATGTGCAAATATTTTGTCCCATTCTGCAGATTTGCTTTTTGACTTCTTGGTAATGTTCTTTGATGCACAAAAGTGTTTAGTTTTGAGGATGTCCAACTTACCTATATTTTCTTTTGCTACCCAGACTTTTGGTGTTATATCTAAGAAACCATTCCCAAATCTAAGATCATGACAGTTTACCCCTTTGTTTTTTTCTAAGGGTTTTATGGTTTTAACTCCTGCTCTTATGTCATTGAGCCATTTTGAGGTGTGTGTGTGCGTGCTTTTTATTTTATTTTATTATTGAATGTATTGGGGTGACAATAGGTTAATAAAATATGGGTTTCAGTCGTACAGTTCTGTGACATATCATTTGTTTGGAGTCTTACCTTTTCCTTTTCCTCTCTGCATCATTAGTCTCTCCCTTCTTCTCTGTGATCGTTCCCATCATCTTACAAAGATATTCTACTCCTTCATTTTAAAAACAACAACAAAATAAAACAGAAAAAATCTACAGGCTAACAACCCAGTCTAGATACCGTTCCACTTCTCCGCTCCCTTGTACAGCTAAACTTCTAGCCAAATGAATAGAAAATGTTAATATCCTTTGCGTTTTGCTACCACACCCCCCATTCACCCTGTGATCTGGTTTCCCTCTCACCACTTCATTAAAGCCACTGTCGCCAAAGGCCAGTAAGGCAGGCACTTTGATTGCCTAAATCTCCCCTAATGACACCCCTAACTTTACAACAAAGTGGGCTAGATTTGTCACTCTTTAGATTATTTATTATTGTTAATCTAACGATGTTAATATTTATTTTAAATGTCATGTATCTATCTAGGCTAGCTGGGTATTGAATGGCAGTATAAAAAGAATAAGCTTCAAGAGATTTCTCAATTTATGTTTATCAAAAGATATCAGTGAATGCTCACTTGACTGTAGCCTGTGTTAAATTTCACTGTGTTCTGCTTTCTCTATTTTAAAATATTAACATATATTTGCACATGTTTTTATAAGTATGTTGGAATGAGTAGTGTGCTAATGTCACAGTTAATAAAAGGTATTATTATAAATCATGGAAGTACATGTACACATCTATAGCTTAAAGTTCTGAATGACTTATTTATTGTAAAACTAAACAAGGAAGCTGATTGCCAATGTTGTAGTATCTCAGGCATAATCAGGGTGGAATTGAGGGGATGAGGGTCAAGATGATATGAATTAGTAGAAAATTTGAATCGCTGCACATTTGAAGATATATAATTTTGGAACCAGAAAAGTCAGTGTTCATGCTGCCTGTCACTACTAGAACCAATTAAGTAGAGACAAGGACTGAATCTTTTAAGGATTCTTTATACAGACGGTGGCAATCTGTGAAGATGGCAGGTTGTGTACTCTCAAAATCCATCTTAACATTTCATCTTGCCCTGGCTGGGGTGGCTTAGTGGATTGAGCACCAGTTTGCAAACCAAAAGGTCTCAGGTTTGATTCTCAGTCAGGGCACATGCCTGGGTTGCGGGTTGGGTCTCCAGTTGGGGATGTGCAAGAGGCAACCACACATTTATATTTCTCCCCTCACTTTCTCCCACCCTATCCCTCTCTAAAAATAAATAAATAAAATCTTAAAAAAAAAAACATTTCATATCAAGTTGACCTTTTTTTATAGGGAGAAGGAAAAGGTAGGTAAAGGGTTTTGGGAAAAGGTTAATCATATAAGACTTGCAGTCTGAATTAATTTTCCTAGTAGTTTTTTATCTGCTGATCAACAATTGTTTTTTCTTTAAGTAACTTGCTTGGATTTTTTTCTTTTTATTCTTTTGAAGATTTTATTCATTTATTTTTAGAAAGAGGGGAAGGGAGGGAGGAAAAGAGGGAGAAAAACATCGGTGTGTGAGAGAAACATCAACTGGTTGCCTCTCACACCAATTGGACCAGTGACCGTTGGTTCCAAAGGGCCATGCTCCACTTTGCAGGGTGATGCTCAACCAACTGAGCCATGACAGTCATGACGATCAACAGTCCTTTGTGTGAGTCATGGACTTCCTTCCCTCCCTGGAACACAGTGGCTCCGATACCATCTCCATCTCTTGCAGGTCCCCTGGGGCATAAAGGTTGAATTGCTTGTTGATCCCCTGGAGTCACATAGGTCATGCATCCAGTTCCTGGAATGACAGCTTCTCACGTGCATTAATCCCTTAAGCCTATGAATTATGATTACAGCAAAAATCTTCGAGTTCTTCTATGAATTGGAATACAGAAACTTATAATTCTGCTTATATAGTAGAGGTTAAAATTGGAAATTATCCAATAATAAAATTAATTTATAAATTATCCATGATACCTCTAATGAAAAGGCTGAAATTCTTTTTATTTTAATTTTTAAAACTTTTTAAAATTGATTTTAGAGAGAGGAAGAGAAAGAGAGAGAAAAACATCCATTTGTTGTTCCACTTTAGGCATTTGTTGGTTGCTTCTTGCATGTGTCCTGCCATGGGATCAAACCTGCAACCTTGCTGTATTAGGATGATGTTCCAACCAGCTGAACTGCTTGGCAATTTTGGGCTGAAGTTATTTGAAAAATGTTCCTGGTAAATATTTAGAACTTAAGCATTGTTTTTTAAAAATATCAAATACTATATGTTTGCTGTGGTATTTTTTAATGTAAGGTTGCTGGAGAGTATCACTCCTTTTAAGGCATAATTTGGAGCCTGGTTTTGGAATGCTTTAGAATCAAAACAAATGAATTATAATTCTGTGATTGTTATTCTTTGGTTCACTCTGATTAAAATTCACAGATGCGGGGCCTATTATTTTAAAAAGCAAACAAAACTCTGTGTGACATGACTTGAAGATTTTATCATTAATTCCACCTTGTTGTTGATGAGGACCTTTGAAGAATTCAGCAATGTCAAAAACTGGATGTGTCAGGAAAAGTAAAATTGTATATTGAAGCTCTATTGTGTTACGTGAAAGTAGGTCTGAGATGAGAACCCAGAGTCAGATAAAAACAAGAGAGGCATCAGGTCAGAGGAGGTGGGACCAGGAGAATAGGAGTTTAGTGGAGGGACAGGTTTGTGACCTTGCCTCTTTAGAAATGTCATAAAGTGATAAGACTCTGAACCTAGTATCCAACAGACTTTGTTTACATAAGTGGGTGACATTTAACAAAATCATAATGAAGTTATTTATAAATCCCATTCAACTGCTTGGATTTTCATTGGGTTTATCTCTGCTACTAGCTAGCTATGAGAACTTGAACATGGAGTAGCTTCTATTTGTACTGCAGTTTTTCTTGGTCAAAAAATGTGCGGATTGAACTAGAAGACTTACATACATCTCACATTGTATCAACCTATGAATTGTTATTCAAACTTCTAATTAATATTAACAAATTCTTTTTTTGTAGCTAATGAAAAGTTGAATGATTATAGCACCTGTATTAGGGGAATTTGAATTAATGAGGGTGTCTTTCTTCCTGTGTATATCACTTAGTATTTTGTCAAGGCCCAATGTTTTGTAACCAAAGTGGGAGGATGTCAAATTCAAACAAGGAAACAAAATATTTATTAAGTAAACAATAAGGAACTCCATGAAAGTGTGACCTAAAGGTCCCAAAGGCCTCTGTCCCTGATGATCTGGTTATTATTTGATTTATGTCAGCTTGTAACTGCCCTCGTTTGGACCTCAGAGGGGAAGCTGGCCTGAGGCAGAGCTGAAGCATTGCTCTGCGCAGTGTCTGGCGCCTACGGGTATGCAGAGTCTCCCATCTACTCCTTGATTAACAGGGAAAAGGCCCATTTTGCTCCATCTGGAACCGTGAAGTCATTGCTGAATCTATTTATATTCATTCTGTGAGGAAAAGGGCAATCCCCAGAAATATTTAACTGTAAGTATGTTGTCTTTTCAAAAATAAGAAAATTTTATAATTTTATGCCATCTAAATTAACTATGAATATTATTTTATTGTCAGTTTAAACTACTTTTAAACTCTAAGATGTTAATAAAAGGGCATTTTTTGGACATTTCATAGTCATGAATTTTTAAAATATTTAATGTTTTTTCTCTTAAGCTGCGAAAATAACATAATATTAATTGAATACTTTTTCATTTAAAAGTCTATATGGTACTGCATGACTCCACTTGTGTGAGATGTCTAGGATAGACAAACCCATAGAAACAGAAAGTTTATTAGCGATTGCCAGAGGCTGGGGGTGAGGGAAGGGAATGGGAGCGACAGGTATGGGTTTGAGCTTTCATGCTGAGGTGAAGGGCATACTCGGGAATTATGTGGCGGTGATAGTCGCACACTTTGTGAATATTTGAAAAATCATAGCATTGTACACTTTAAAAGAATGAATTTTATGTTACATAAATTATATCCCCATAAAGCTGTATAAAAAAACTCTTTGAGGACTTCACACTGTCAAATCTTCCTTATATTCTAAAGTTATAAGATAGATTCTTATTAAGGAATCAAGAAGCCTTAATTTGTGTTGTTATTCAAATATAGTCTTTTTATTTTCCTTGGTTCCAGTGAGGTCAGAGAAGTTTGGCTCACAGAAGCCTGACTATGAAATATCTTTTTATAATTATGTATGATATAATGCTATCACTCATTTTTTTTTAGTAGAATCTATTCTGAACATTAAAATGTTTTCTTGTGAAGCAACTTACTTTTCAATATATCAATTTTGAGTACTGCTTTGTTTGTGATTGAAATGACATTTATTACAAGAGTAAAAATGCAGAAACTGTAAAATTCTTTAACATATAAATGTAGTTCTCAGGAATCAATGCTTTTTTTTCTGTTAAAGTTCTAGACATACGAAGATTCACTAAGAACAATTTATGGTTAAGGTAAAAGAGATGAAATTTTGTTTATGCAATTAAGCATCTTTTCAGTAGAATAAATATTGTAATCTTTTTTAGCTATTATAATCTTAAAAATACCATTTTTTTATAAAGTTATATTTGCTAAGGAAAAATTATAGACTTTGCTCTTGCTAAATTGATCCTCTTGATAAAAGTTTCTCTTAACTAATTTTTTTTCCCTAAATAAATATTTACTAGGAAAGACAACAAAACAGAATCATTCTAGGTCCATTGTAACTTTTCTCCTTAACAGGATAGAATCTTTTTGATTACATATGTCTCTCTGTCATTAATAATTTACTTAAATGTTTTAGAACTATTTTTTAAAAGACTTTGTTTATTTATACTTGGAGAGAGGGGAAGGTAGGGAGAAAGAGAGGGAGAGAAACCTTGATGTGTGAGAGAAACAATCAATCACTTGCCTCTCACAGGCCCTCAGCCAGGGACCTGGCCTGGCTGGGGACAAGCCAGTCATGTGCCCCTGACCAGGAATCAAACCAGTGACCTTTTGGTTTGTGGGATGATGCGCAACGCTCTGAGCCATACCAGTCAGTGCTAAAACTAATTTTTATAAATGTTATTTCTGAAAGTTTTTTCTTTTTACTATGTATACCTATTTTAATACTTCTATTACAGATTTAAAAGTCTGAAGAAAAAGATAATTAGTGAAAAATGTTATGTAGAAAATAATGTAACTATTACTATTTGCCCATTTATGCTCTGAAATATAACTAGTTCATAAACTGATAAAAATGAGTCTGCTTTACAAAATATTTTTAGGCATTTATTTATCAAAATGGGAAGAAGTTGGTTTTAGAGTATTATTGTTTATGGTATAAACCTGACAGTGGCATTATTATAAGATTCTTATGTGTGTGTATGTATCAGGATGTTACCAGTTTTGTTTTAGTGTTCTACCTCTGGTTTGTTCTATATTCTTTTTCTTTCTTTCTTTCTTTCTTTTTTTTTTTTTTTTGCTTTTCTTCCTTTCAGTACATTTCTTTTTTTCTTTTCTTTTTTTAAATTGTTGCTCAATTACAGTTGTCCCGATTCCCCGCCCCGATTACTCTCCCCTGCCCTATCCACCCCCACCTCCTGCTTTCAATCCCCTTCCCATTTTCAGTCCCCACCCCCATTGTCTTTGTCCATGGGTCCTTTATAATTGTTCTTTGACGACCCTTCCCCGCTTCCCCTTCTTTCCCAGTTATCCCCTGCCCCCGCCCCTCTGGTCACTGGTTGTTCTTTGTTTCCATGTCTCTGGTCTTATTTTGCTCACTTGTCTGTTTTGTTCATTAGGTTCCACTTATAGGTGAGATTATATGGTATTTGCCTTTCACCACCTGCCTTATTTCACTTAGCATATGCTCTCCAGTTCTATCTATGATGTTATGAAGGGTAGGAGTTCCTTCTTTCTTTCTGCTGCATAGCATTCCGTTGGGTAAATGTACCACAGTTTTTTGATCCACTCATTTATTGATGGGCACTTAGGCTGTTTCTAGCACTTGACTATTGTAAATTGTGCTGCTATGAACATTGGGATGCATAGGTTCTTTTGAACTGGTGTTTCAGGATTCTTAGGGTATATTCCCAGCAGTGGAATAGCCGAGTCAAAAGGCAGTTCCATTTTTAATTTTTTGAGGAAATTCCAAACTGTTTTCCACAGTGGCTGCATCAGTCTGCATTTCCACCAACGGTGCACTAGGGTTTCCTTTTCTTCACAACCTCGCCAGCACTTGCTGTTTGTTGGTTTGTTTATGATGGCCATTCTGACCGATGTGAAGTGGTACCTCATTGTGGTTTTAATTTGCCTCTCTCTGATGGCTAGTGATGTTGAGCATCCTTTCATATGTCTCTGAGCTCTGTATGTATCCTCCTTGGAGAAGTGTCCAGTTCCTTTGCCCATTTTTTAATTGGATTGTTTGTCTTCCTGGTGTGGAGTTGTATGAATTCTTTACATATTTTGGAGATCAAACCCTTGTCTGAAGTATCATTGGCAAATATATTTTCCCATACAGTTAGTTCCCTTTTTATTTTGCTCATGTTTTCTTTAGCTGTGCAGAAGCTTTTTAATTTGGTGAAGTCCCACATTTTATATTATTTCTCAAGTGAACTCTCACTAAGCAAAGTCTATATCTAAGCAGTACCAAATACTTTTTAATTTTCAGTCATCTCCAGATATTTAATATTCTATGAAGCATAATGGTAAATGCAGCAATTTTTTTAAAAGGGTGAATAACAACTTTAAGTTTTCGCAGGCATTTGTAATTTTCTAGAATCTAATTGAGACTTAAAAGGGAAGTTTGGAAAGAATTAAACAGGACTACTGCTAAAAAGTATCACATAAATTAAACTGGTAGTATTCAGAGTTCCTTTTAGAGTTAGAGCCATTTGATCTATTATAATATTGGAAAGACAGAAATATACACTGATGGATCCTGTTGATTTTAGTCCTTGTTTCTCAAGGAAAACTTCATATTGAAACTTACTTATTTGAGGGCACTGCTTTTCCTTGGCTTTCCATCCAATACTCACTATTTGATTGTTGCTATTCTATTAGAAGAGTGGGAGATTCAAGTACTTTTTAAAGGAACTACATGCTATTAGATGATAAAGGAGACAAATTTCAGAAATATTATTATTTGAATCATCTTCATGGATATAGAAACCTTGGCCACGAAGCTATCACATGAGTAATAAATAAAAGATTTTTCAAAACAATCTCAGAAGTTTGTCATGTATATATTTGGGTATGATTTAAAACCCATTTTCTTCTCTTTTGGTTCTTTTCAAAGGTGAAAACAGTCTTTATCTTCTAACAGACAGGATAAAGCTATATAAAATGTGATGGACTCTTGAATGGCCTTTATTTTCTTCTAATAACTTTCATTTTCTTAAACTGTAATTTCCTGTTTAAGTCTATTCAAAGATGCACTATTTTTGGAGTTCCTTCCTAGGATAAAACAAAAATAGTTTTTCCCATAAGGATAGTCTTAGATTTTGAAGAATTTTTCCTCATAACAGCTTATGATTTTTAGGCTTTATTGTTAAGATATAAAACAGTTTTTCAGCAATCAACAATCTATTTTCATTAATCAAGCACATCCAAAATTAATACTTTAATGTTTGGCATATTGCAGTGCTATGAAAGAGAAAGATTTATAATGGACTTGAAAGATAAAAAAAAAGTGCTATGAAATCTATTCTTTTCCTACTCTTTAATTTCCTTAACAAAAAAGTCTAATTTTTCTTCTTAATTTATCTAAATTTAGAGCTCTGAGATCTTGAAACTATTAGAATAAAGATTAAAAGAATCAATTAAGTCAAGAATTGTGTTGGAATTTACACACATTAATTAAATACTCCCAACAACTTTGCTAGGAGGCTTTTTATTTTCCTCTTCCACAAAGGAAGAAATGAAGGTTCAGGGAGATTTAATCAATGACCCACAAATAAGTATGAGAGCAGTGTGTGAAGGCTGACTCCAGAGCTTGGTACACTTTCAAAAGCTCCAATGATTATTACTAAGATTTATTAGGTTATTTGCAAAGAGCTGAGCCATAAGAGATTGGAAGAATTAAATGATGGTGTGCAGACATATGAAAAATCAATTTTTTAAAGGTAAAGTGTAAATATAAATTTTTCATGTATAAATTCCGCTAAATTCTTTATTTTTTCAAAACAGTACTTACTTTTATCAAATCGTACTTCCAAATAGTCTACAAAATTTTTGTTTCTTTCAGGTTCTGTTTCAGCAGTCACTGACAAAGTGAGAATTGGACCACAGGATGGCAGAAACTTATGTCACTGCACCTGATGGGTACTGTCTTTCTGACCCGGTGCAATACTATGGTATGTAACCAGAAAGCTACAGTATAATAGTTAATAAACATTATTTAACTTAACTAAACAATTTCAGTATATTGAATAGCCAATCTTCCTACTAGCTTTAATGAAATTTAAGACATTTAGAGGGTGAATTATAGTTAATTACAGTTTTTTTAAAAAAAATTAACAAATGAACTACAGACTTAAATTATTTTATACTATTAATTTCAAAAATCAGTAATACTAAAAGGTTGTAAGCCAGAATTAAATGCAAAGAAGAGAAAGCACAATAGTTTAAAATTGTATTTAATTAAAAAATAGGATTAACATGCAAATAGAAATTTTTTTTAGGGATTAGGTGAAGCAAGTTTAATAAATTCTAGTTTAGTAATTTAGTAAATGCAATTCAATGTACTTGAAATTGTAATCTTAATGTAAGATTTTTATCAAAGGGAAAGAAATACAAAAGAGAATTCAGGAGATAATAAGAATTTTCTCCTAAGAGACTAAAGCTATCATAAATTTAATTTTAAATGTGGTTGTCTTTTAGAGTTTGGACTCATTTCCATACCAATGGAGCACCAGCCAGTGTTCTGCAGTCTTGACACCCATCCCAGAAGGGCCCTCTTCTTTTTAAAAAAGTTCCATTATTTTTACTGATACTCTTTCTTCTTATATTGGCCTGTCTTTAGGATTTATTCAACACTTTGCATTGGAGTGGATGCTCTACGATTGCAAATGATTTATGTGAATTAGTAAAAATTATACTCTTTGTCAGTTTTTGTGGTAGGATTTTGAGGCTAAGACGAAATCTAATCACTGGTGATTCAGCATCAGGGAAAGCACTGACATTGCTAGTTACAAAGAGCCCCGAAGCCATTCCTGGGCCCTTTTGGACCCAACTTTCTGCGCTTAGATTCAGCAATTCTCCTGAAGGCAGAAAGTGAGTTGGTGTTTGGGAGGGTCTGATAGTGATAATAAAAATTATAAATAATTTAAAAATGATATTCATTAAACATAATTTTATAGTCTACATATGCTTTTGCATATGACATTTTATTTCAAATTTACAGTAATCCTGTGAAGGAGGTGAATTTATCCCTAGATAACTGGTGGTTAGAATTCCTGGACAACAGAACAAAATAGAAACTAGAAATTTAAATCAGGTCTACATGAGGCTGAGGGTGTTAAGGTGTGTTAAATGGGGAGTTCAGACAGACGTTTTTGCTTTTTTTTGTTTTTGCTTGAATTAATCACTCTTAAAGAACAAAAATTTAATTGAGTGAATTTGAAGATCTAATTGGCTTTGTTGAGCCATCTGTGAATTGGGCAGCCTGTCATCTAGCAAGCAGAGAGGAGCCCCAAGAAGCTGTACAATATGGAGATTTTTTATAGCCAGAAACTAGGTGGGACGACAAAGTCCTTAGCAAAAGAAAAAAAAAAGATCGTTCCTTAGGAGAAGCCAGGGATCTTATCAGGCAGATTGCCTCAGTTTCCTTTGGGGCTGGGGATGGATAGGTCTCATGCAAGAGATTACCTCATTGGTACTGACCAAAAAATTTCTGATTGGCCTATTAAGATTACATTTGTGGGGAAGGTTCAAACTGCAGTTAGGTCAGATATTAAGTCTAGATTTGGTGTCCATTTTGGGCCTATGATATTTCTCTTTAACACCAGATAATTGGTAATATTGTATTTTAGTTTCATTTTTCTTGGCTGGAGGGGTGGGATAATTTATTAATACACCTCTTTACTGAACTTATTGCACTGAAAACAGTTGTATCTCAACAAGGGACATGCAGAAGATGGGGAAAGCCTTTCATTCCAAACTGGGAAATGTTCATTTCTACTGAAGGAGGGGACTGGATTGGTATATAAGCCATTGGCAACTATTACCCTTTCTCCGAGCTCCCGAGCAACCTCTGCCTACCTCTGGATGGCAGCATTTATCATACATTGCAGCTCAGTTTACTGTCTGCCCCTTCCGCTGGACAGCAGCAGGCCCCTGAGCGGTAGTGGGCATATTGAACTACGAGTCTGTTTATTGAACATAAAGCCCTTTGAAGTTTGAAAACAACACACAATTTTGACTTCTTACTATTTGTTTTTTTATGTTAAAAACCCTAGATATTCTGCCAGAACAAAATGATTACCAGCTGCATGACACTGATTTTCAAGAACCACCTTATTGCCAGTCTTCTACTGCCCAGTGTCCTCCAGCTCTGCAGCCCCCATCTTTACAAAATCATTTCAACACGTATTGGTTGGATCCACAGTTTAGAGGTGGAGAGTATCGACTTGGTTCCTGTGAATTAAATAAATCCACTTCTGTGGCTGACCACGATGCCGAAGATGGATACCCTGAAATAAAAAGGTCCAGGCTAACTCATTCTCCCATGCGAACTAAGGGACAGGAAGAACTCTGTATGGTTTGTGGTGATAAAGCGTCAGGATATCATTATAATGCACTTACTTGTGAGGGTTGCAAAGGTAAGGACAAAGTTAAAGTGAAACTGAAATCCTAGTGTTTACTAAAGAGGCGTGAGATTTGAGGTATGTATTCTTTTTACAGTGTGAAAAATAAAAGCAGGGGGAACTATTGATCAATCTATGGTATCAAAGACATGAAAATGGAATGTCATAAAGCTTTGATTCAGTTTTTTTTCATTATTGATAAAGACTTACATGTAAATAGAAAATTCAATATCTTTAATGGCAGAAAAACAGTTTTCGTGTTCCTAGATGAATCTGATGTTGGGATAGAAAATGACTTTTAAAAAGATCTGAATTTTAACTATTGCATCTTTTCTTGTGGTTGATGTAATTCAGGCATTAGGAGGGAATTTGAATTAAATGATTTCTAAGATTCTATTTTTTTGAATGCTTTTTTGAAAAGAAACGGGAGGTCCGGAAGTGAAAATAATCATTGACAATGGAATTTTCAGAGTGAAATAGTCCTTGATGAAGTTTTGAGATTTTGAAACACTTCTGCATTGTTTTCATTCACAAATGCAACATTAGGACAGAACTTCCAGGGGTGTCCAACCTGCGCCCCACAGGCCGCATGCAGCCCAGGATGGTTGTGAACGTGGCCCAACACAAAATCGTAAATTTACTTAAAACATTATGAGATTTTTTTGTGTGCGTGTATGTGACTATGTGTTGCAATGTATTTAATACGTGGCCGAAGAGAACTCTTCTTCTTCCAGTGTGGCCCAGAGACGCCAAAAGGTCAGACACCCCTGGATACAGCACTAGGTAAACATGTCTGTTAGAAGTACAGGGTGAAATATTACTGTCAGAACCCCACAGTTCGTCCCTCACAAGAAAGAGCCAGATGAAGACCAAGGGCAGTGAGGTTCCAGCTTTATGAACAGAATAGCTGGACCAGTATTTGCTTTATCTTAAAAGGCAAGGCTGTGCTGTTAAAACTGGTTTGAAGAATGAGACATAGTTCTGGAAACCTAAGCTGAGGTTTCTACTCCCTTGTTGAATCTAAGTCATGAAACTCCTACTCTCAAATGTGCCTACAGAAAAAGAGGGTATGTCAGATCTCTAAGAGGGGCATTGACTAAACTTATCAACTTCACAACTGGGAATGAAATGAGGAAGAGAGCACAGATTATTGCATAAAAATAGAAAATAAAAGAGGAAGTGGGAAGAGGTACTGCAATTTATGGATTCAGGAAGCGAAATAGAAAATGTAGAACCCCCACTCCAGTATATACACACATATACACAAAACATGGCGCATTCACACATCTCAGTCAAATAAACTAGCAATACCTTCTTATCTGGGGAGGTGCTAAAACAAAGGAGAAAGAGGGATAAGTTTGGAAGAATATCTCTTCCTTTATATGTTGAGGTAAAAATGTGAGAAGAGAAAAAGAGGTTTTCCTTATAGTTTTATTTTCCATAAGCACACATTCTTCCAAGGGGACCTTGAGAGATGCTTCATGGAATCATGGTCATCTTTACAACATAGTTTAAAAAAATGTGCTTAGATAATAGGTAATAACCATAGTAAAATAGAAATGTCTTAATGTGGTAGAGCTAATTACTTTAGTTTTCAGTGTGATTTGTGAAAGGAACAACCTTGAAATATCAAACATGAGAGGACTAAAATAATTACCCATATAAATGTATATTAAACCAAATCTTATTTAGGGGGAAAATATTGAAAAAATTTAGTTAACTTGATTATTTAACTGTACCTGAAGATGTGTGTATATATACATATATTTAAAAAAATTTTTTTTATTGATTGATTTTAGGGAGAGGGTGAGGGAGGAAAGAGGGGGAGAAAGAGATCTCTCTCTCTCTCTCTCTCTCTCTCTCTCTCTCTCACACACACACACACACACACACACACACACACTATTTGCTGTTCCATTTATTTATGCATTCATTGGTTGATTCTTGTATGTGCCCTGACTGGGTTTTGAACCTTGCAATCTTGATATATTGGGACGATGCTCTAACCAACTGAGCTACTGGGCCAGGACTTGAAGGTATATATTAATAAAAACAAATAACTGAAAACACCTAATAGTAAAATTAAAATTTTTTTATTAGGTTTCTTTCGACGTAGCATTACTAAAAATGCAGTATATAGTTGCAAGAATGGTGGTCACTGTGAAATGGACATGTACATGCGTAGAAAATGTCAAGAGTGCAGACTGAACAAGTGCAAGGCAGTAGGAATGTTGGCAGAATGTAAGTGGCATTTTGTTGTTTTGTTTTTTGAGGGAGATTTTAGTTTATCTTACTTTATTGAGAACTTAATATATTCTTCAAGTTGTGATTTTCAAGTCATAGTTATCTGGATTTAAGCTATTTCTCTAACATCTGCTATATTAGGATAGCCAGTTACCAATCCAGGTAATTATTTCCATAAATCCTGTTTTATACTATATTGCTCTAATATTGGTAATGATCAAATTCTCTTAATTGGAAATCCTTGTATTTTTTTATAGTACTTAACCCAAAGTTATGTAATGCATCTAGAAGGGGCAGAATTTCCATGAGTAGTTCCCCTTCTTCCATCTTGTATCTCTAGATGCCTACATCATACTTGGGTATGTGTAGTTCACTAACAATTATCATGTAGGGGTCAAAACCCAACTCAACAGGCTGAAGAGTACCTAATTTTTTTTTGAGTTCCTTCCACATACACTGTCTTTTTAGCTTAATAAATTACATGATGCCATCTAATACAGTAGTAATACTGATATTTTGGCATTATTTACTCAGTTTCTCCTATTCCCCAGGGCTCAAAATTTCATGGTAACTTTAATTTTTCTCTATAGAGTACTATTTTTTTCCTATCTAATCTAGCCTTGTGCAAACTCTTCTCTCTTTTAAAAGATTTTATTTATTTATTTTTAGAGAGGAGAAGGGAGGGAGAAAGAGGGGGAGAGAAATATCAATGTGTGATTGCCTCTTGTCTGCTCCCTACTGGGGACCTGGCCTGCAACCCAGGCATATGCCCTGACTGGGAATCGAACTGATGACCCTTTGGTTTGCAGGCTGGCACTCAATTCATTGAACCACACCAGCCAGAGCCAAAGTCTTCTTCTTTTGTATATACACTATTATATTAGCCTCATGGCCATTTCTCCATTCTTTCTTTTTAGTTCAATTTGCCTTCAACTGCTATAATAATCTTCAATTTTTATTAAGTTTTATTCAATAAAGACCAATGCAATATTCTGTTTATATTATACTGCTTATTATAATCAAATCTAAACTCTTCAGTCAAAGTTCTTTACCCAAGTGGATTTCTGTTATTTAAAATCCCAGTGTTGGAGCTCTTGAGGTTATCCTGTCCCACCAGACTGAATCCTTTACTGTATCCCTGTTTGCTCCATATGCCATAGCAAAATACCATTGTCTTGTCTTATAAGGAAAAAATTGACTTAGCCCACTAAAAAACACCCACAAGATATTCTCTTGGCCAATCAAAGATAAAAGCCCATAGATAAGGTTGTTCAACTGCTCTACCAATTGACACTATGTTGCTTCCAATATATAATTAATGTGGAAATTTCCGTAAAAAGGTCTCAATTTATAATTTGGAGATGGAAAATTAATTTCTAATTTATGTCTAGGATGGCCATGTTCTTTTAAGTAGACAGGTATTATGGAAAGGAAAGGCAAAATAATGTAGTAAATTTAATTGCTATGTACATACTTATCAAGAAAGGGTCTTTGTAAAAAGACAAGTCTATGATCTAACATGTGTACAATATAAGACAATTTTCATCAAATTCTATAATGTTCTTTGCTGTACCCAAACATTTTATATGAATTTTGTAATATCACAGGTTTGCTCACAGAAATTCAATGCAAATCAAAGGAACTTCGAAAGAACTTTAAGAAGAATAGTTTTCGTTCTAACATCAAAGAGGAAGAGGTAGGAGTAGACAGCAAGCTTGTATCATCCACCACTAGCTCTGGAAAAGTGGCAAGACTCTTCTTCTAAGATTCTTTGTTTCTTTAATAATGATGTCTTTTTTAACAACTGTGCATTACAGTTGCTCCCATTATGTTTTCTTATAGATCCAGGAGAACATGGAACTCACTCAAGAGGAACATTGGCTTATTAATAGCATTGTGGCTGCTCATCAAAAATACACAATTCCTTTAGAGGAAACAAAGAAATTTGTATGTGGTTCATTACAGACATAAATTAATTTATAATTGATTATGTTAGAAAATAAAGGCAGAACATGAAAGTTTAAAATTTAAATAGTTATTTAAAAGAAAATAAAAATTTTATTAGTTTTATTGCTTTTTCTCGGTTAGCTGCAGGAACATGCAAATCCTGAACTGAGCTTTTTGCAACTCTCAGAGACGGTAGTCCTACACATACAGGGGTTAATGGATTTTACCAAAGGACTCCCAGGTAATCTACTTTGGAAAAAAAATTAAAGTTAACAATTTTTAAATAGTTACCTGCTTTAAAGGAAGGGGACATTTTAGGAGAACAAAAATCTCAATTTTCCCTCCAAAATTGCTTCTAAATGCAAAAACTATGTTTATTAATCAACCAGGTGGGTAAAAATATAAATATTTTAAAATATTATTGAAATTATTTTAAAAACTTATACTTAAGACAATCGATTTAATTTGTTGTAGGTTTTATTTTATTTTTCTTTTTTTGGAAAGAAATTGTTTTTGTTTTATAGATAAAACATGAAACATAAAATTTGTCATGCAATATAAATAAATAAAGCCACCGTTGCCTAAAACTCAGGTATCTATTTACATGTGCAGATAACTCACTGTAAAAATAAATTCTTCGAGGCTGAAGTATGTTTAATTTGCTCTTGCTATAGGAAAGTATTATTATCCATTTCTTATAAAAGGCCCCCCAAATATTGCCATGTGGAATCAAAAATTTTATTTAGATTTGAAGTTACATATCATGATTATTCTAAGGGAACATTAAAGATTTATACCATAACCAAACAAAAAATACAAAATGTTAAATCCTATACCTGAAAAATTAACTTTTCACAATCTATTTCAAACAATTATGTGATCTTTTCTTAAAGGATTTAAAAACTTGACGAATGAGGATCAGACTGCATTACAGAAGGGATCAAAAACTGAAGTGCTGTTCCTTCATGTGGCCCGACTTTACAGAGAAGGATTTTCATCAGCTTCCGAAAGTAAAAATGCCAACTAACTCAAACTTAATGTTAATAGTTATTATTACATTTAGCAACAAATTTATAATATTGAGCTATTTTTTCTTATTATACTTTAATTTTACTAGTTGGAGGAATAAGTGCTTCATAATAGCTGTTTATATTTTTCCAATTTATTGGTCTAGTTTTTGCTTTTTAAAAATTTTTTTAAAGAAAGTTATTCTTTATTACATAGCATCATGGAAAAATGTTTTTGGAGGGTCTTCTATATAATCTTTGTATAAAATATGGACTATCTTGTATTTATCTAGTTTTATGTTTCAGTAATAAAAATTATAGAGCTACCTTTCACTGGGAACATTTTCTACGTGACAGAGAGATTGATTTTACTATTTAAAGATTTTTTTAAAAATCAGAATTTATATTTTTCCCTTTTACTAGGTACTGTGAGATTATCAGATCATTCAGATCATTCACTGAATTGTCACGATGGAAGTGTTATTTATTCTAAGGAAACATTTTGCAACAAAGACTGTCTTTCCACTACACTGACTGGTAATATACAATATAAAGTATTTATTAGAAGATGATTTGTCAGATATATCATGTTTTATTTTCTTATACTTTGGAAAAATGATAATGGCAATATGTGTGAGTGTGCACTATGTTCTGATGAAACTACATTTTATATTAATCTTAGGTGTCGCTGCAGAATTTATCAGCACACTGTTTTACTTCTACAGAAGAATGAGTGAGCTTAATATTACTAATACTGAATATGCTCTGCTTGCAGCGACTACTGTGTTTTTTTCAGGTAAAAACTATTCAGTAGTAAAAATCTGGATCAAGTTTGGCAATTAAATCATGAAGTTTGTGGTTATTATATTATTCATTGATGCTAAAAGTACCGATTTTGTTTAATCAAAATTGCCTTCTCAATAAGAGTATTCTCTTTGGCTTACAAATATGCTGTAATTTCTTGCCTCTTAAAAAATGCCTTCTTGACCTCATATCCCCCTTTCAGCTACTCTCCTATTTCTCTGTTCTACGTTACAGGAAAAAAAAAAAATTTTTTTTTTAGAGTTGTCTACACTCCTGCCTCCATTTCTCTTCTCTCATTCACTCCTGAACTCAATACCATCAGATTTTGTCCCCTCCTTTCCATTCCCCTACAGCTTTTGAAGATCTTAAGTGTTTTGGCATTGTTGATGCCACTGGTCAATTCTCAGTCCTCGTCTTATTTGACCCATCAGCTACATTTAACGGAGGAGATAACCAACGGCCTCTTTCTTGGAACAAACACTTACTTCATTACTTGGCTTCAGTTGATCACTCCCTCTTTGCTATGCTTTCCCCACAACCAACCCCTACTCGATTTACAGAGCATCACTCTCTCTTGATTTTCTTCCTTAGTAGCTGCGCTTTCTGTCTCCTTTGTTAATTCATCCTCATCTCCCACACTGATAAATGTCCCAGGGCTCCGTTCTCCTTTCTTTTGTACTCACTTCCTTTGAAATTTCATCCTATCTCATGGCTTTAACTGCCATCTATATACTGACAATGCCCAAACTTAAATTCCAACCTGGACTCTTTCCCTTAATTCCATTAAAAGGCCTGTTCAAAATTTCAACTTGGATGTCTACTAGGCATATCAAATCTATTATGTCTAACGGTGAACTTTTGCTCTCCTCTCTGATCCTCCTATATCTTCGTCATCTCTACTAATTGGCATCTCCTTCAAGTTGCATAAGCCAAAATTCTTGCAGTCATCCTTAATTTCCATCTTTTTCCTTACACCTATATAAATATGCAACAAATCCTATTGGCTCTAGCCTCAAAATATATCCAGAACTGTTACTCTGTGCCTGCTACCCAAATCAAAACTACTATCTTGACATGCTTTCCTGTTCTTGCTCTTGATTCCCTAGGTTCTATCCTCTGTCTAGTAACCAGAGTGGTTCTTTGAAAACAAGCCAGGTCATGCTGTTCCTCTGCTCATAACCCCTTGCAGGAGTGTATAACCTTTTGGCGTCTCTGGGTCACACTGGAAGAAGAGTTGTCTTGGGCCACATATTAAATACATTGTGACATGTAATTACAAAAAAAATCTTATCATATTTTAAGCCAATTTACAATTTTTGTGTTGGACTGTATTCATAGCCATCCTGGGATGCATGTGGCCTGCAGCCCGCAGGTTGGACATCCCTGTAATGACTTTCTATTTTACACAGATTAAAGCCAACATTCTTTCCATCATTGACCACTACTGCCCCTTTTGCTTTTGGTGCATATGTTCCTTGAAAATTTCAAGCAGGTTCCTGTCACAGGTTCTGTACTTGACAAATCTTGGAAAGTTCTTTTCCTAGATAGCTACATGGTTCCCTCCTTTTACCATCTTGGATCTCTGCTCAATGTCATTTACTTCTGATTAACTTTTAAAAATAGCTACTTTCCCTCTATGTCATATTCTTATCCCCTTTCATTTTTCTATAACACTTTTTAAAAGTTTTTTTAAAAAAGATTTTATTTGTTTACTTTTTAGAGAGAGGGAAAGGGAGGAAGACAGAGAGGGAGAGAAACATTAATCTTCTCATGCACCCCCTACTGGGGACCTGGCGTGCAACCCAGGCATGTGCCCTGACTGAGAATAGAACCAGTGACCTTTTGGTTCACAGACTGGTACTCAATCCACTGAGCAACATAGTCAGGACTCACTTTTCTATAACACTTTGTTTTCTTTAACACTGTCATATTTTTATTTAAAAAATGTATACATGTCTCTTTCCTCCCGTACTCCTCCCAGACCAAGAACATAAGCTCAGTAGGGTAGAAAATTTTCTTGTGTTCAGTGCTGTATGTCCAACACAATGACTGGATGAATGAATGCTGCCTATTAGGAAATACTTTTCATAGAGTATTATGAAGATTAAGTAAGATATTGCACAGATAGTTGCAAGTTACATAGCATAATTTCTGGCATATATTAAGGATATTAAATATTTGCTATTTTTTATTATTTAGAACTGTATTGTTTTAAATTGATTATCTTCTATCATTTTCTAGTATTTATTAAGATACATATATGATGTTTTTCAGATCGTCCATGCCTTAAAAATAAGCAACGTGTGGAAAATTTACAAGAACCAATTTTACAAATTTTGTACAAATATTCAAAAATTTATCATCCAGAAGACCTACAGCATTTTGCTCATCTCATAGGGAGGCTCACTGAACTGAGGACACTCAATCACAGCCATTCAGAAATACTTAGCATTTGGAAAACAAAGGACCCTGAATTGGCTAGTTTTCTCTCTGAGAAATGGAATCTGTATTCACATTGCTGAAACTTTAGAATATTGCGGTGTGTCTTAAAATTCCTAAATCTAATTGTTTACTGTATCATTATAGGATGACTGATTTGAAAAACAGAACAGCATTGCTATGTTACCAATGTTTCACAACTATAAAATGGACATCATCAGGGCTCCTCAAATTTTGGGGAATGCAGGACTACCACTAGCGGGACATCTAGAATTCATCTAGGATTTCAAGGTTCGACTCTTAAAAAAAGTAACCGTTGTTACTGCTTGTTTCCTTCAAAAGGGGATAATATTAAATAGAATTCTTACCTGAAGAAAATACTTTTTTTATTTAGTGTGAAATTGAATGAAAATATATGGATTTCTCATAGACATGAAAAAGGCTATGTCATGGAAACAATGTAGTAAGAGTAAAGGCAGTTTGTGAACCTCATTAATGCCCGATTTATGGATAACGAACTAACATTTTAAACCCATTCCTATTATAGTATTTTATGATTATAGATGAAAACAGCTTTGTCCAACTCTTAACTTTTCTTAATATTTTTTAAAAAGAGATCTCTTATGAGTCCAAATTTAAAACTTTGTGATGGCAAGATACTGGAAAAAATTAATGTGAAAAATTGCTAAAACATTTTTAAACATATATTGGGAATATAGCACAATTTACTACTCATTCTGATAGAAAAATATTTTTACTTTTTTTTTTTTTGCCAACACCTTGTGTACAAAAAATGAAGTTCTTAAAATCTTTCCAAAAATATTTTCATTCTTGTGAGGATGAAAAAGACAGAATGGTTATATATTAAAAATAAATTTCAGCCCTAGTTGGTGTGGCTGAGTGGATTGAGCACTGGCCTGCAAACCAAAGGGTCACTGGTTTGATTCCCAAGTGTAGGGCACATGCCTGGGTTGCGGGCCAGGTCTCCAGCAGGGGGCAGGTGAAATGCAACCACACATTGATGTTTCTTGCCCTCTCCTTCTCCCTCTCTTCCCCTCTCTAAAAATAAATAAATAAAATCTTAAAAAAAATTTCATGAGAAAGCAAGACATTCTATGGTGGCACTGTTGTTTTTCCTCTGGGGGTATCTTGTGCATAGTCTTGGTGTTATTTCTTGGAGGGAGTATTTTATGCTTTTTAGGGTACCTAAACTCAGTTTTCTTAAGATGTAAAATGAGTAACACTTGATCATACTTCCCAGCTCAACATTTTTGTCATTTTAGCAGAAATTAGTATGTCTGATAGATTAAATTTATACGAAACAAAATGGGTTATTTAAAAATATTACTAACGTCCTTTGGAAAAGCAACAATTATATACATGGAGAATGTTAGAAAACACAGTCAATATGTTCAAAATGAAACATCTTAGTGCTCAAATGTAGGTACTTAGCACAACATTTATTATATTTACTCTCCCATGCCTGAAACCAGGCAGTCACCTTAGACTCTTCTCTTTCACTGCTTACTACTAAAAAGTCATCGGGTCCTATTCATTTTATTTCTACCTTTCATATTTGATGTCTTCTTCATCTCCACTACCACCGTCTTTGCTCCGGTCCTCATACTTCACCCAGTCTACTGAAATTATATCTGTAACTCCAGTCTCATAAGCCATTTCGCACTATAAATTTTCCCCTGAACTTGATCATGACTCCCTTTGTGCTCAAAATGTTTTAAGATTCCCATCTCTAGGTGCCAAAATCCAAGTCTCTGCAAGGCCGTCACAGCTCTTGCCATTTTCCACTGCCTCCCCACCACCTACCTACACCACGCTTCCCGGGCCCACTCACTCTGGTTACAGGTCCGCTGTCTCCCAGAGTCCCAGGGCCTTTGCCCACCCTCCTGCCGCCGGGAACGCGCTTTGCTCGCTTCCCTGTCCAGCCAACTCTCCATTCACCCTCCCATCCTCGACTGAAGCAGTAACAGAAGCGTAGCCCACCACGAAGCCTCCCTGACCCCTCAAGCCACTGAGTGCCACCTTCTCTATGCCTTTAAAATGACCACCTTTAAGTGATGACACCCGGCTATAACTGCTTGTTTGCCTATCTATTTCCTTCCTAAGACCGAACTCTTGGAGGACAGAAACGGATTTTTCACACTCAGCTCCTATCTATCATAGCACCTGAGAATCTTCCTCCCAGGCTTTGGCAACAGCAGAAGCTTAAAGGACATGAACTATATAAACAGTAACAGAATCCGGACTGGAATTGTTACTAACAAGGGGAAATCTCGCGAGATGTTGGTCTCGCGAGCTCAGCACGCTCACGTGCTTGACCGTTATTGACGGTTATTTGGCCGTTAGACAGCTGCCCGCACCTTCCCTACGCGCCCTGCTGGCTCCGCAGGTGGACGGGTTTCCCGCCTTTCCGGAGGTTCGAAGGCGCTCGTGGGTTCTTTTTGCTGCCCTCGTAGGTGGCAGGTGGCGGCTCTCGTGGACCTGAAAGGTATTATGGGGCAGGTGTACCGGGTGCCTTTCTGCAGACAGAACCCGAGCTGGGCCTGGTTTTGCCACCGTGCCTCCCTCCCGAAGCGGCTTTCTGGGTGTTCGGCCGAGCACCCTAGGCCGCTTCTCCCCGCGAGGCGATGCCACGTAACCGGGCTGGTGAGCGCGGGCTCGGGCCTTCTTTCTCGGCGGTCACAGCGCGCGGCGGTGTTCGAGCTCCTGGCTCCTCTCCGTCGCCTGTGTGGCCACTGGTGGGGGAGGGGCAGCGGGCGAAATAGGGGTCCTTCCCCTGGGACCGCCGCGGCGACAGGCGGCGCTGAAGACTTAACCCAGGAGCCTAGGTCCCGTCCGTTCCTGCAGATGGCCACTGAGCATACAAACATGACCACTTAGAATAAAGAAAAATGGGGTATTAATGAAACGACGTAAAATACCTCCCCGTCCCTTTGGGGCTCTAGGTCGCCCGACCGCACGGACACATGGAGAAGCAGAAGCCCTTCACCTTGTTTGTCCCGCCGAGACTCAGTAGCGGTCAGGTGTCTGCCGTGAAACCGCAGACCTTGGGCGGAGAGGCTAATTTCTTCAAGGTAAATTTGCATATGAATTTTGAATTTGACTGTAATTAACTTTAGGCAAAGGAGGCAGAATATACTTTTGTAGTGGTGATATTTTTACAAGTATTTCTTTTGAGTAAGGGCGGTGTGATTGACACAGGAATGTTGACTAGCATGGCTTCGCACCCATGGTGAACAGACCTCGTGTGCGTGGGCGTCGCTCGCGCCGCTAATTGCCGTGGCGCTAGGACGCGGCCGACAGGTGGAACCTGCGTGTTTTTAATTCTTCCTCCTTCCTTAAGTGAATAGGGGCAACCTATAGGACATATACCATGATATAATAACATGTAAATTAGGAGACTATTAGGATCAAGGAAGATTAAGAACACTGGAGCAAATACGTCGACGTACTAGTAGAATTTGGTGTGTGACTGAGCTTCAAATTTGCCTTTGAGCTTCCTGGTCGACAGGATAAAAAGGGAAGTTCATTTATATAGTAGAATTTCTCCGGTGAAACAGAGCTTTTTCTGCTAAATTATTTAAAAATTTCCTTAGGGTGAACTTTTTATTGGAGATGGAATGAAACAATGAATATTTTAATTTTTATATGCCATAGAAAAACTCATGTCTCTGCAGACAAGAATGTAACATTTAAAATGCTATATAGCAAAGATAATTCTCAATTACATCAAGGGAAAGACTATAACGAAATTGAGGACAACTAATATCCTGTGCTACTCATTAAAATTACTTATGGTATTCTTGAATACTTCAAGCATGTATTGCATAATTGATGGCTTCATCTTACAAGTGGAAATACCTAATTGCATTTTTTGCTTTGTTTGCATAGCAAAAGCATTTGATATTTTAAATATTATATATAATTATATATACCTTAAACAATTTACAACTATAGTCACTTCTTTAAGCAGATGTACGATTTTTTGCTGTGTACAATGCACACTATTTTGCCCAAATTCTTGAGGGAAAAATAAGGATGCGCATTATACATGGGTAGTGCTAATTTTGTATCTATATAAATGTTTCCAATTAAAAAAAATTATTTATTTATTTTTAGATAGAGAAGAAAGGAGGGAGAAAGAAGGAAACATTAATGTGTGGTTGCCTCTCTGGTGCCCCCTACTGGGGACTTGGCCTGCACCCCAGGCAGGTGCCCTAGACTGGGGGAGTCCAACCAGCAACCCTTTCCTCCGCAGGCTGGTGCTCAATCCACTGAGCCACAGCAGTCAGGGCAGGTGGTTTTAATTCTTTTACTTATGCTTATGCATTAAAAGTATAACTCTACAGAGCAGTAACGATATCCATATGCAAAATAACACCCTGGAATACAATAATTGGTTTTGTTTCTAAACACAAATAAATAAAAAATTGAATTAAAAAATTAAAATGAAAGATTTTTTTTTTCCTGAAAATTTGGGCCAAAAAACATGGGTGCACATTATACATAGTAAAATAGGGTGTATTACTTATGAAATTACATATTACACTGCTTGTTATCAGAGTGGTATGGGACACTGTATTTAAGAACTTCTTTGTGTTTCTAGAGCTTCAACAAAGATATTGAAGATGATACTGGTTTTCCGTTTACAATGACTAATCTCTCTAAAAAAGGGGAAAGCATCGATTCAGGTAGGAGACTGGAAAAGTAATATATCACCTTACAGTGAAGCATTTTTAAAATACACATTGCTAGATATTAAAAAATAACAAATATTATACTGGTAGCTTTGACATTAAAGCTAGATATAATATTTAATATAAAAAATAAGATGTTGGCGTATATAATACCAGTTGTCTTTTATCTTGCAGGTGCTACTTTACAAAAAGTAAACTTTTTGCCCATGCTTGAACAGGTCAGTTAAATATAGTGCCTATGGATATAATCTCTTTAGGTACTGAATTGCTTCCTTGAAAAAGGAAAGAAATTCTGTAGTCATTGAATTACTAGTCTTTAGTATTTAATTGTTACTGTCTAGAAAGTCTCATCAGAAATATTTTCTTACAGGAAACATTTATTCATTTTTTAGGTTGATAATTCTGACAGTTGTCACTACCAGGAAGGACTAAAAGACTCTGATTTTGAGGTCAGAAGATTTCTCTACCATATGAAATGTCCTGTAACTAGAGTATCATTTATTATAACTTGTATGTATTTTTCTTTTGAAGCTTCAGAAGAAATATTTGGTTAATGTTTTAAAGTATACCCTTTGTTTTTTTCTCTTTGTTTTTCTTTTAAAATTGCTGAAACACTAGGTTTCTGTATTTTCCTGGGTTATAATCGCATATGCTTTTTAGGGGCAATTTTATTTTAAATCGTAGAAAACAAGAATAGAAGAGAGGAGATGGTTACAAAATGTGAAAAGGCTGAGAATCAAGCCAGTATTTTATGATCTTTTTATTACTGGGTGTGATTGGCTGGTTTATTGTCTAAGAAATTTTAGAACATGCTATACTTTTGATTTTAGTTGTAAAAAATGTTCTTACAAATGGCACATAGATGTCTTTAAAATGAAGAGAAATTCCATGGCCTAAGAAAGTGCTATATGTTTGTTGCTCTGGTTATAATGTCACAATGTAAAAATATGGAACTTATATATTTTGATAACAACATCAGTGAGCAGAAATCAGTGTCATTTTTTGAAAAGTAAAACCTGGTATTAACCTAACAATGTGGAAATAAATAACCCAGGAAATCCAAATAAAATCTCAGGTTAAATGAAAGTTAGATGTCGTATTCACTATTATTTTTCTTGTCATTATGTTTTAAACTTCATGCCCTATAGTTAATCCTCAAACTGATTATATAACCAAAATGTTTCAAGACCGTTGTTAAGATTTTTAGATTTCTTGTAGAGACTTATTTTAGCTTTTAACTAGTCAGATTCTCTCATTGACTAAAATATTTCTAACTTCTGGCTTAGGTACATTTTGATGTTACTTGATTTTATTCACCAAGGTATAACTTAGTCA